AGGCCTGCCTGGCAGGATTCGCATCAAGAAGTGTGTGTCATACTGCCAGAATGGCTAGATAGGTAGCCCCCACTGTGGATCAACCTGTGAAGTGGTTTTTCTGCATCCTCATAAAAGACCTTCACTTTTCAGTTTCTGTTGTATGATACATAGGAGGAGGCAGAATACAAGTTTGGTTTTCAAAAACGTTTGCAGCCTGTGTGTAACTTTGAAGCCAGTGTGGCCAGGATAGATCTGTAACGGCTCTGCCTGATTGCAGGGCTTGGGGGCTGAGGGTGGGAGCACATTTGTTCCTCTCGTGTTCAGAGGCCTCACATCCTAGTGGTGCCTCTTGTGCCTTTTCTCCAGCTGTTGTTATCACTAAGCTATCAGACTCAAGCTGTTTAAATGCGCTTGTTCCCTTGGTGACAAATAGAAAGTGAATGTGGCCTTTGGGCAGCCGTCATCTGACCTGAAGTCAGCAATGGACATTGAACCCACAAGGAAATCTCATCAGCTTTTCTGTCTGAAGGTAGAGAGGAGCTAAGGTCTTGGGGTTACTTTAGTAAATGTTGTTTTGATGGTTGGATTCAGATCCCATAGAGGTGGTACAGCTGTATTCTGGGTACCCTCAGCCTCCTGGATGGATGGCTAGTTTTGAGTGGCAGGGATGGAGAGCAATGCAGCATCCAGGTGAACATGGCATCCCCTTCTTCAGAGCCAGAGCTGGCAGCAGGGGCTACCAGAGTCCTTCCTGGTCTCATAGTTTTAATTCAATTTCCTAAGGATTTCTGCCTACCTATAAACCTGTTAGAAGCTGAGGACAGCTGGAGCCTTCAGTGCTTCAGTGTGGACATTCTATGTGAGACACACTTTAAACCAGTCAAATTCCTCTATCTCAGAGTCCTGAGGGGGGTGCCTATTCTGGGATGCTTTTATCTTTAAGAACTTGAGATAGAGTACTGTCACTTTTTGAAAGGGTTTATTTTTTTATTTATGTGTATGTGTGCATGAGTTTATGTGCGTCTTGTGTGTACAGGTGCCCTAGTGGACAGAGGGCATTAAAGCCCCTGTAACTGGACTTTGGGGCAGTTATGAGCCATCTGATTAGGGCATGGAGAGCTCAGGTCCACAAGAAGAGTAATACGTGCTCTTAATTACTGAGACAGCTTTCCAGCCCCAATACCATCATTCAGGAAACATGACTTGAAGTGTGGTTATGTTGCCACAGATCTCACCCCTTGGTCTCACAGTGTCTCCTCCTTGCTGTGATTTTAAATCTTCATCAACCTTTAATTTTATTGTGATGTGGTTATCACTCTGAGCCCCCTCAAGTCTGCTGTGTGCATGGTGTGTCATGCTGAGCATGGGCTCTACAGTAGAGACTGGTGTTTGTACCCGACTTTAGCAGACATCTGAGCTGAGTTGCTGCGATCTCTCAGAGGGTCTCTATTCCCACTCCACAAAGTCCACTCTGAAACAACCTTGAAGCCAAAAGGGAGGTGACCTTGAGCAATGAAAGGCAATGCTAGTAGGCCAAGGTGTATTGACTGGAGTTATCCCTGAACTTCTGTCCTGTTGCTGGCATGCCAGTATCCACATCATCACTCTCTATTCTGGGAGCTTGAACGTGTGGTCCTAGGTGACACATGCCTTCTAGGAAGGTGTAGTATCCAGGGTATCTGTGCTGGCCTTGCCACCTCTTGCCCTGCTACTTCCAGCCAATTGCAGCTTGAGGAGAGCCAAACTGGCCCTGTGGGTTTGTTTAGAAGGCTTAAAAGCCTGTCCTTAGTCATTTCATTTAGTAGTGGCATGAGTGATTCTTCTGTCCCCAGGCCCATCTTAGCACCTTTTCAGGGGCCCGCCTGCCTCTGAAGCCCTTTAAATAACCTTCCACCCAACTGCATCAGCGTGATAGATCTCCCACGCATCTTTGTGATTTAGTCAAAAAAAACAGTTGCTAAACTTGTGTCTAAGAAGTGTTTTCACTTAAAGGGTAAAGGACTGAGAATGGTCATTCAAATAGGATGAAAGGTTGACCGGAGCTGCAGTAGCAGGGCCACAGACGGGAAGCTATAAACAACAGAAGTTAGTCACTCCAAACTTCTGGGGACCAGAAGTCCAACATCATTCTCAACAGCACTGGTGTCTTCACATACACTTCTCTTACCTGTTTGTGCTATGTCCTCCATGTCATCAAATGCTGTCTCTCAGTCACACCTTGCCCCTACCCTACACCCCAACCAGTGAATTCATTTAAATCACCCGGCTGAAGGTCCTGTCTCCATAGACAACCACATTTTGAGGTACTGGGGCCAGGACTGCAGCCTGAGAATTTGGGGGACACTGTGGCCCATGTGGAGGGAGGCCTGGCTTCTTTAATTATTGTATTTTATTTTCTTCGAGTGGCTGTAATCAGGAAAAAGCATTCTGTTTCGTACTGGGCGGCATAGGTGTGGCACTGAACTGTAAACCCTCGGTACACAGATGCTGCTGGGAGTGCCTGAGTGTGAGTCACTGATGCAGACCCACTGGACTCGGGCCAAAAGGTGGCTCTGCCAAGAGCTGCAGGCCCAGGAAGAAAGATCTGATGCCCTTCCTCCCCTGCATTTTCTCTTGTCTTTCTAGTTCTGCGTAAGTTGTGAACCATAACCCTAACCCTAACCCTAACCCCCTAACCGTAACCCTAACCCTAACCCTAACACTCACCCTAACCCCCTCACCCCCACCCCAACCCCCCCACCCCCACCCCCCACCCCCACCCCCCACACTGCAGAAGATGGTCATTTTCAGAGCTGACTTTCCATGGGGTCCTGGCCAGAGTGCCCATGGGCCTGTGCTTCCTCTGACTTCTCACCAGGTGCTCTCTTGTGTGTGGGGGTGGCAGGGAAAGGAGTAGGGGGAGGTGGAGAGATGGGTAGGTTTGCATGATCCTTTCAACTCTCCCGACCCTGAAACCAGATGAAAACTGAAGCTCAGCCTTGGGTCCCCCTGTATGTGTCACAAGGAGCTTCTTCTTGAGAGCCCTTGTCCTAAGCATTAAGTCCTGGCTTCTTCATTCGGCTTCAGCTCTCAAATCTCCTGCCACACATTAGCACCACCGCGCTCAGACTGAGGCACACCTGCAGCAGCCTCATTGCTGAATCTGATGTAAGTTAGAGCCACCCATCCTCCAGCTGTTTTCCGTTGTATGGGCCACATGTGCTCGGCCAGAGGCACTGCTCCAGCCACTGTGCCAGCTGTCAAGGGATTTCTGGACTGGCACGGTACTCTGAATCAGTGGTAATGGCTTCCTCCGTTGAATGTTGTCCAAAAGCAATTGTTCACTTGCTAGAGGCGCGTGCCATGCTGTCACACCAGGGCCCGAGAGGACGGCACACCACCACCACTACCACCTCGAGGGCCTGGGTCTTTCCTTTGCCAAAATTTCCAACATTCCCACATCCATGCCACCTGGCATGATTTTACTTGTCCTTTGTGCATGTCTTCTCGTTAATCTTGACCACAGCCACCACTGTCCACCTGTCATCCTCGTGGTTAGCCAGTCGATGTCTCCCCAGATGATGTCAAGACTAGAACTGGAAGCTTACCAAGTATAAGCAGTTGAGAAGGCCCATCCCTTGGGTGACCCTTTCTTGGTGTGTTGACTGTGGATACCCAGTCATCCCCATTGTCTGGTTACGCAAAGGTCCACAGTGACACCAGGTCTGTTTAAGTCTTCCCACCTTGGATCGATGGCTTAGTCAGTCAGCACATGCTTTCTTTGTTTTAGTGAGTTGCGGTTCTATTTTGAATAAGTGCCTTTCGGCTTATTAATATTCGTCTTTGCCAAAATGAACCTTCCCCTGAGTTATTCTCACACAAAAGGAGCAAAGTAATTTTGAAAGTTAAATCAAAACAAAGCAATCTTGTGTGCAGAGCTGATAAAATCGCAGCCTGTGGTCACGGGGGCTCCTCCACAGGAATCCTGACATAAAGCCGATTTCCTCCCATCTTGTTATGGAACGAAAGGGGAAATGCCCTGGCCCGTTGAGCTTGTGAGCTATGTAAACAGTGGGGAGGGGGGAACTCCCTTGCAGCTGGTGTCTGGGGGGACCTTTGGAGTCTCAGAGGGGACAGACAGTCCTAGTGTGATTCATGGTCATTCCCAGACAGTCCTTAGGAGCACTTCCCACCAGAGTAAAGTGGGGCGGACTGGGGGTGGTCACATAGCCAGGTCCCGTTTGTGGGTTAGTCATTAAGGAAGCCACCAGGGCCTACTTCAGACTTGAATTTAAACCAGGTTGTGGCTGATGGTATTGAGGCAAATATATTTCCTTGCCTTTCGTTCTCCAAGGAGACGGATTAGATCCCTCATGGATCCCTCTGGAGGGGTACACAAGGGGCTCTGAATTCTTCACATAAATCCGAGGCTTCCTTCTGAACAGATTGTAACAAACCTACATATGTCACAAGCAATGAGGCTTTGCTCTAAATTGCCCTTTTCTTCCCAGGCCTGATGTGGGATGGATGGCAAGGTTGACTCAGCCTCTTGTCTGCGACAGTGGGCAGCCCCTCTGGGTCACTGTTTAGCCGTCACTGCTTCACTTTATTTAGCATCCCTTAACAGCTGCCAATATCTACCGTTGAGGGGTTCTGAGCTAAATATCAGTGAATGTGGTCAGTAGTAAAGGAACCCAAGTTCATCCTTTCTTTTCTTCTGCCCCCCTCTCCCACCCTTGGCTGCTTCTACACCAAGACATCGAAACCATTGACCTGGCATGGCTCTTGTCCTGCACCAACCTGAAGGGTTATAGTTCTGGGATGCCTTTGGAGTAGTTTGATGGTCTTCTCTTCACTTTATTTTCTCAGTGATGGACAATTCCTTTGGTATGCTTGTCCTCTGTGGTGTCACACCCTCCCCCTGGCAGAGCAGATGGATTGAGTTCCCCTGCGATTCAGACGGGATGCATCTCTTGCTTTCAGTGTGCCCTGTCCAGATTACTAGGGAGTAACTAGGAACTCCGCTTGTATCGTTGCAGGCAAATAATTACCAAGAGGATGAAGACCACCCTCACCACCCTCAAATGGTTATCTTACAACTGTTACGCTTCATCGTCCGTCTTGTATGGAGAAGGCATTGACAGGATCTTCACGCCGCCAGGATAAATGTGGACACCGATCTTGTTCAGACCACCAGAACCCCAGCACCTCAAGTCTCTTGGCGCCATGACAATGCAGCCAGTAGCTCTGTCCCAGAGAGGTGCTGAGGGTGGCCGACACACTGCACTGTGTCGATGCGAACTTAACCTTTCGGTTCATCACCACATGGCAGAATTTCCAGTAGACATTTGTTGTGAATGTAAACAAGGGATGGCTCTTCTCTTATTAATGTACAGATCCTGGGACTTTGTAGTAGCGTCATATGCAAGAAAGGTGTTTACATGTGGTGTGTTCATTTGTTTTTTAAACCTGCTTTCTTTGGTAACCGTTTGGTTGGTTGTTTTTTGTTTTTTGTTTTCCTTTGTTTTGGGGGTTTTTGTTTTTTCAGAAAAGAAATGAAAACTCTTTAGCCAACTTCTGGATGATTTTTATACTAAACTCCTAATGCCCTGTTGCCTATTCTCAGAGGATATGTAAACCTGCAGTGGGAACTGAGCCAGCTGATTTCTACGGCTGCCTTAGTTTATTTTTGGAGATTACTGTACAGAATTTTTAAACAGTGAGAGTATGGTGTTGCCCTCTCTCCTCCGCCGTGGCTCCTTTGAGTTTCTTTTTTAATTATTGCTACCAAAACAGTTCTTACAAAATGGGATGGGTTCAAGTGGCAAAGGGTCTGTTTTGGTGTGCCACTCTCATTTTGTAAATGCTTACCTCCTTAGCCCAGTTGCTTCTGTGGCAAACTTTCACACTTTCTGTGTTTTTCCTCATCTCCCCGTACTCCTCAGTCTGTCTCCACACTGATGCACAGGTTTGGCCCAGGGTATTCTCATGATGCCATGTGTTTGGGTCAGCAAGGGCTAGGGGCTGCCCGGATTGTTCCCAGCCCCATCAATCAAGCTGACTCATGGGAAGGGCTTTTGTCCACCTCACTTCATTGTGGTGGGTTTGTTTGTCTCTTACATCTGGAGAGAATGCAGACTCACACAAAGTTTACTGAAGCTGTTAACTCTTTTGGTTTCAGGCTTGGCTACAGTCGTGGGCTCTGCCTTGCTGCATGTACCAGATGGGCCAGAGCCCACACTTTTCTTGGGGATTGACCAGGTCATTTCGGGAGCAAGGGGCTCAGGTAGTCATTTTCCTTGGCATGCTTCTTGAAATTTAGCCCTGCTCATCCCACCTGGCCCGTGATACCTGAACTCCATCCCTATTCCTTTGAACCTACCTTGACATAGAGACTGGCTCTGCCTCCCCAGTTACCATACATAGGAAACCTAACCTCAGTTACATCAAGTGAAACATTCTTTTTGGTCTTCCAAAAGATGGCTAACTACTTTTTCTCCATTGTTTAACAGTTGGATCTTGGTGGGCCACCCGTGTCTGGGGTGGGGGGTGCTCTCTCTTGGTACCTACCCCTTAGGGCCATGTGCACCAGAAGCCCACACACTGGTCAGCCATTTCAAGAGCTGGAGGAGTATAGCCTGGTGAAGGAGCCTTCCCTAGCATGTGCAGATGCCCTGGGCTCCATCCCCATCTCCTCCCATAACAAACAACACACATGTAGGCAGACAACCAGGGAAGACACAAAAAGGACAGAAGAAAGAACATCAGAGGGGTGGGGGAAACTGTGAACCCTCTAACTTGTGAAAACGTCAGTCATCAGGCAGCTTGCTTAGAGGAGAAGTGCATGCAAGCAAGTCAGCAGTGCCAACAACTGTGTTTGCTTTTGCCCAGTAGAGGGCCAGTGTTTTTACGTTATTAAGTAGAGAAATCCATTCATTCCCACGTTCCTCTCTCTCTCTCTCTCTCTCTCTCTCTCTCTCTCTCTCTCTGTGTGTGTGTGTGTGTGTGTGTGTATGTGTGTTTATATGTATATATATGTATATATATAATGTCTATATGCTTTTCCTTCTAGATTGAGATCACTTGATTCCAAATATTCTTCCTTTTAAAACCACTTATTCCCCAGCTTCCTTAGATTATTGTTTGAAAGCTGTGTTGGTGCGCTCACCTTGTTTCCTGATGTGTTGAGCCTATAGAGGGTTCCTATATGGCACACTGTTACAAGGTGGTATTAAGAGTGCAGCCATGGTACACATACACACACACACACACACACACACACACACACACACACACACACACACCAAAGACATACTTGGTTCTGGGCCACCCCACTCCTAGGACCTCCATGCTCATGTGCCAGTCTCCGACTGGAGCACTTTACTGTCTCAGCCCTGTGGCTCTGTGGTATCTCTTTAGTAGGTGCAGAAGGCTCCCAGAGCCAGGTGCCGGTAGCATGTGTGGCCCTTCAAGCATGCTTACCTCTGGCCCATTGGCCTCCAGCCTGGGGCTGGCTATCAAAGCAGCTCATGGGGAAATACAACATTCTATGAATTGTAGAAGTATTCAAGAACAGGATGCGGCACCCAGAACTTAGACATGACTGGATGTCCCTGTACTGTATCTGTTTATTAAAATACAAATAAGAAAGTATGTTTGCCCACTGTGGGTAGACCCTTGTACTTAATTTTTATTTTATTATTGTTATCTCTCTTCTTTTTTTTGTTAGAACAGAAACTCCCGTGTGTGTGTCTGTGTGTCTGTGTGTCTGTGTCTGTGTGTGTGTGTCTGTATGTGTGTGTATGTCTGTGTGAACACAATGCGGGTTTTGTGCCTTGACAACCTCCCCATGTGAGGTTTGTAAAAAGTGAAGTCCTGTGACTTCACCCCAAGATGCAATAAACACACGAAATGACTTCCTGAATAATTCTTCAGATTTCCTTCCCAGAAACAATTTGATGAATTCGGGGGAGGGCGCGGGAGGGGCTAAAAATCAGTTTAAAATCTCTTTTCATTAAAGTATATAATGGATAATGTACACAACCTCTCCTGTTTCCTCTTAGTGTTGTATATATTTTGACTATTTATTAGATTAGGAAGTCGTGTTTTATTCATCAACTGAGCCAAATGTCTGTGTGCAATTGTGTTTCCTTTACTTTCTTTGTAAAATTTTGTACGGCATAAATGAGTGTAAAAAAAAAATCACTGTTTTTCTAAACTTCTCAGAATTAAGGATTGTAAATATCGTAGGTTCTTTTTCTGTGTAATGTGCCCTACTGTTTCATAATGCTGTAACTTGTAGAAATGGTGTATATTTATTTTCTGCTTATTTAATGTCTTAAGTTCTTGAAAGTGTTGACATCCCTGTCCCCCATACCCCTGCCATCCCGTGAATTACTTCAGCTCCTGAGGTGTGGGGAGTGGTGACTGGGTCCACTCTCCCAAGGTGGCCTCCCGCTTTGGCTCCTGGCATTCAGTTCTTGGATTCTGCCACCTTTCTGATGAAATTAGTATTTTGCTGCCCATGAGATACCCTAGATGTGGTAAGCTGAAAGATTGGACTCTAAAAAAAAAAAAAAAAATACTCCATCAAATCCATTTGTTGTAAAGCAGGTGGCTTCTGAGAAAAACAGATTTACCAGTAAGTTGGCCATATCTAGAGAAGTATTATCAGCAGATGGGAAAGGATTTTTTTTTCTCCATTGAAAGAGTATCTGTGACAGCTCAGTGTTGAGAAAATACAATCCTGCCACCTCTTGAGGTGCTGCTGTGTGGCTGTCCTGGGTAGGAGGAGGACTGGTGGGGCAATATCACCTGTCTCACCAGGACACTTGCTGGCTACTGTCCACACCTGCTGTGTGGTTCCTAGGTTGCGGTGTATGGGGTGTATGGCTGTGGTAAGGAGCTCAGCCATTCTGCTCCCTCCCCCATTCACTGCATTAGTCCAGCCTGCTTCTGCGGGTCCATGCCTTTGCTCCAACTCTTCATATTCCTTAAGAAGAGGTCAGGGTCCCTGCTGGCCTGGGTGTCAAGATGGAAAAACTCACTGAGGCTCTAGGGGCATGTTACTTAATGTAGATGGCTCTGTCCTCCCTGCGGATTTAGCCTGGTGCCTGTGTGTGTCGGCTCGGTACGGTGGCGTGTGTGCGGGTCGTGTCCACACGTGTCGCTAAATTAGCGGGGAATCCCTCCCAAACAGCATTTGCAGAGCATCCTCAAGCTCCCAGCAAAGTACTTGACTGCTTTTATTTGGAAATTTCGAAATTCAGTAGTTCAAATAGGTTTTCATGTCTAGGTTCTTTGACCACTGGTTACTGTATCCAAACCTGTCAGGTACCCTTTAATAAACAGCACTGATCTCTGTGTATAGTGCCCTATCACTAACGTGTCCAAGGACCCAGCGTATGTAGCATTTGTATTGCAGTTTCCCTGGCTTCCTTTATGTTTTTGCACTGATGAATTTTGACAGGGTAATTGCCACTGTACTTGTGCAATACTGCTGTAAATAACTGCAGATTTTTTTTAAGAAACTCAATCTTTTATGTTCCTAATGAATTTTATATAAATAAAACTTGCAACTAGCTTCCGTGAACTGTTTGATTTGTTTTCTTAAAAATAGCCAACAACTGAGGGTATCTTTAGAAATACACAACGGCCTCCTGTCGGTCAGAAGATATTAGTTGTGTGTAGATCTTCTTGCTTGAAAACAAGTCTGTGTAGTATAGTTAAAAGCAAACCATTCTGAACAGTTTTGAAGTGGATGGTGGAAACTCCTGCCTATAGAGTCAGCCATGGCTCAGTACTTGGAAGGAAGAGGCAGATCGGGAGTGGACTGTTCTCTGGTCACCTCACAGAAGAACTGCTAACCCCTGTGATCTTGGGTATCCACTGGGTATAGACTAAATCAGGAAGGAGCCAGAGGCACTGATGCATGGTTGGGGGAACACAAGTTGTAAGGTCCATGTCAAAGAGTTCAGGATTTGCCTATTTCCTTCTGAAATTGGTGCTGAACAGTTTTTAACCAGGGATCCATTCATGTTGTTAATTAAGCAAGCAGCACATAAATAGGGCTTTGTAAAAATTCATCAACTTATTGCAAAGCAGGTTGTTTGAGCTACCACTCTCAATCCTCATCCAGGTAGGAGGCTGCATTTTTCCAGAGTGCTTTTCCTGCGCTGTGGGTGTGGGCATTTTGCATAAATGCTGGTAACTACATCCATTACCTAGCAACTGGTCATAGATCTTTCTAGAATGATTCCATTTCACCCTGACTACTGCACAGGATACTGAGAACAGTGCTCCAGGGCCTAGCTCATCATCGGTAGTGACCAAAAGTGCTCACCCTCAGAAGCTTAGTCAGTGACATGCTAGTACCTGCCTGGTGTGTGAGGAAACAATGGCCTTCCTGGTTTAAATTAGACCATTCTGTTCACAACTCTGATGACACCAGGCCCTGCTGGCATTGCCATTTTGTCTGGAGGGAGTGTGCTTACTGCCAGCCATTTGTTTCATTGTCCTATTGATGACCAACTTGTTATGCATAATAGTCCTTCAGTCTGTTGCTTCTTTTCTCTCTGAATTTCAGTGCAGAAAAATTTCAAGCTCATGAGAAAGTCCACAGGATTTGATAGACTCCTAGCTCTGATTTGGAACATTTTGCTGTGGTGGTATGCAAGCATCTTCTGACATTTTTTTTTAATTTCTGCATATTTCAAAGTAAGTCATAGTCATCAGTAAACCTGTTCCTAAATATTCATCATACATGCCACTCATTTTTTATAGCTATCATTCAAGATAAAATTTACACACAATAAAGCACAGGTTTGGGGCTGAGGATATATGGTCCAGCAGTTAAGATCCTGTTCCTGCAGAGGACTCTAGTTTGTTTCCCAGCACCCATGACCAGTAGCTCACAACCATCTGTAAATATATTTACAGGGATCCAATACTCTCTCTGGCCTCAGGTTTTCCCCTCCCCCAAACACACACGCACACGCACGCACACGCACACGCACACACGCACACACATGCACACACACGAATAAAATACAAATGCATGCATTTGTTAAGATTTGGTTAAGGGAATAACTGTTGCCCATGGGCCTATCAAAATAGCATTACCACCCCTTCAGAAAGCTCGTTCCCAGGCAGTGATGTCATTCATCCCCAACCCCTCTGCTCCCAGGCATGGCCTCTCTTGTTTTTTCTGCACTGTAACATACTTCTGCCTGTTTCTCAACTTCATATGAATGGAATAATTTGTGTTTGGTTGCTTTTGGTCAAGGCATGTTCTGGAGATACGTGTCATAAGGACTGGTAGTTGATAATCCACTGTCTAATGGACACCTGAACTTTGGCCATTAGAGGTGACAATAAGCAAAGTTTCTGTGACCATTCTCATATAAGCGTAAATTACCAACTGAGAAACCAGTTTTAACCCTCTTTCTTTAATTTCTATAATTTGTCTTCCTTGCGACACCTCTGTCAAAGTTTTCAATATACTTTATTCACATAAGCCCACAGTTTGGTTTTCATTCTTAACCAAACTGGAATTGCTTCTTAGTGATGAGCAGTGTTAGTCTCTTCCTACACCCCGTGGCGCTGCTTCTGTCTTAACTGAAGTGGTCCAGTGCATCCCAACCCTCTCACACACCTCTCTCTCTTCCACCAATCTTTCTGTTCGTATCAATTACTAGTTTTATGTTTTCAGTGCCCCCCAACCCCACCAACTTTCTGTTCCATGTGAATCTCCAGAAGCTCTTCGGGAGTCTCACTTGGGATTATGATTCTACAATAACTTAAGGGCAATTTGCCATTTCTCCTACCTGCTCTCCAAGGTGTGTGGCTTTTTGTCCACAATTCATTAGAAGTGGTTTCCTGCCCGGTTTCTAAGCCTGTGGTCATGAGAGTTTGACAACAGTGAAAGCTGCTTTTCTGAATGCTCAGTGATCAAAGATGAAACACTTGATGAGTGGGACCTGGCACCGCTCAGCTATGTTGAGCCTTACGATTTTCCTGCAGCCTTGGTCGCACATGGTTATGTCATGCTGTGCTGTGACCAAATACTACGCCAGCTCATATCCAAGACTACCGGATGTTACGCAGGCAGTTTTTACTGCACTTGGTAATTTTGCCCATGATGGCTTTATCGCAAAAAATAAAGGAGTTTAGTATTTCCTCACTTCATCCGTCAACATGTTAAGTATCATGAGTATATCTTTGGGAGGGATTATGTCAGAATGTTTGATTTGAAAAGCTGCCATTTGAGATCTTTTTCGTGGCGCCTCCTAGGCAGTCAGCCGTGTCAGGAGTATCTCCTTCCCAGCCATCAGCTGTCAGAAGTTCCTTGAAGTGGGTGATGAACGCAGGCTTTGTACTTTCTATGAAAAGTGCATGGCCACAGAAGTAGCTGCTGGTGCTGTGGGTGAAGAGTGGAAAGGTCATGTGATAGGAATCAGTGGTGGGAACAACAAACAATGTTTTCCAATGAAGCAAGGTGTCGTGACCCATGGCAGTGTGCCTGCTGTTGAGTAAGGGGCGTTCTTGTTATAGAGCAAGGAGAACTGGAGAGAGGAAGTGCAAGTGGGTTCTGGGATGCACTGTGGATTCTCAACTTGGTTATTAAAGAGACAGACAAGCATGAGAGAGAGAGAGAGAGAGAGAGAGAGAGAGAGAGAGAGAGAGAGAGAGACTCCTGGAGGGACAGATAACTACTGAGCCTCAGCTATTGGGCCAAAAAAAAGCTCACATAATCTAAAAGCTTTTCAGTCTCTCTAAATAAGAGGATGTTTACTGTGGTAGTTTCAATGTAATTGCCCCCATAATCTCATAGGGAGTGGCACTATTAAAAGGCATGGCTTTGTTGGAGTAGGCATGGCCTTGTTGGAGGAAGTGTGTCACTGTAGGGGTGGGTTTTGAGGTTGCTCTCCTATACTCAGGATACTACCCAGTGTCTCAGTCCATTTCCTTTGGCCTTCTGATCAGGATTAGCCAATACCATGTCTGCCTGCCTGCCACCATGCTCCCTGCTATGATGATAATGGACTGAACCTCTGAAACTCTAAGCAAGGCACCCCAATTAAATGTTTTCCTTATAAGAGTTGCCGTGGT